TCGCATCTGTTGTCACTTCCTTTGTCTTAAGAGTCAATTTTCCTCGATACTACTTGTTTTGTAGTTGATTTCATTTCAATTTTAGCCTGGAAGAGATTTTTTTTTTTTTTTTTTCCGGTTATATTTGTTGTTTATCTTTAATTAATATTAATAAATGGGATATGAGAATTTATGGTGGATTTTGAAGTTTGAGTTTGGGGATTTGATAAAGTAATCTAAAGGTGAACAAAATGTTATTATACGGATCTTTGTGATGGTTGGATTTTTCTAGTTATTTTGAGTTGCTTAGCTGTACCTGGGAATTGCCTTGAAATTGGATTATATATATATATAGTGGAACTGCTGTTTTCAGATTTAACCTTGGATCTCCAGATGTCATCATCCACTTATGTAAAAAAAGGTTATTGCACAAAGAAGTGATAATAGAGTTTGCCATACTCTACAGTTTTGATGTTATTTTGATTCATTTCTGGTAGCAATAATTTCGATTCCTCAGTAGGGAGCTTTCATCATTACTTTTGTTTTTTTCCCCTTTTGTGGAAGAGTAATACTACAGTTATTCTTAGCTGTAAAACTCCTGCACCACATCAGATGGGATTTTTATTGTCACAGTAACTCAAAAAGAATCCAGAAATTATTTGAATGAATTATGAAAAACTTATTCATTGAAGCTGCATCTCTGAAAGTTTCAAGAATTCAAGTTAGATTTACTCTCAATGTCAGAATATTTAATGGCAACTATCTTCCGTTTTCCAGGGCCCATCTTAAATCGCCATGGTCTCACAGAAAACGAAAGCGTGCCCTTTCACTCCGACGGTGGAGAAGCCTTTTCACACCCGATGGAAGACTTGGAGATGGTGGAGTTAAATTTCTGAAAAAAGTCCGGAGTGGAGTGAGTCCTTGCACAACTTTGAGGTGTTCAATTTTTTATGGGATCAACAACTCTAATGTTTGTCGACTATTTGCCTGACCATGTTATGCAGGGTGTTGAACCTAGTATCAGGGCAGAAGTTTGGCCGTTCCTACTGGGAGTGTAAGTTTCATTGTTTTTTTGTGACATTCCTTCTGCATTTAAATAGTCCTTTATTTTTCTCGCATTGAAGTGGGAGGGAAATTCCATTATCCCTGATTTTTCTTGAATTCAACATTATGTTTTTATGCCTTTAACTTTGTTTCTGCTGCAGCTTTGATTTGAACAGTTCTAAAGAAGAAAGAGACTCTATAAGATGCCAGAAAAGGTACCGCTGCTGATTTCAATACTCTTAATTGTGCACCACCAAACACCCCCTTCCCCGGCAACCAAATATAAAATAGAGAGAACAAATATGGCGTGTTCCTAATTCTATATACTTTTTTTTCTTAATTGTTGACTGCAGAAAAGAATATGCTAGGTTGCGATTGCAGTGCCGTCGACTGTTAAAATGCAAAGATAAGATGTTTAAATTGAACGGAACTAGCAGAACATGTAATGGAAACAATGGAAGTCTCATTGGAGTGGTGGATTCTCCAGTTTCTGAAGATGTTAGTTGTAGAGAATCCCTCTGTAGCGGGGAAAGAAGCCCATACAACGAATATTCAGACAATCCTGTTGACTCTTTGTTTTATGGAAATGCTGGTTCAAGACGAATCACAGAGCTAGGTTTTAACTCTGACTCTGAATCATCAGACTCGGACTCCTCTGCTGATCCTGTTACAATCCAAAACCTTCCCTCCATGGATAGCATGGAGAAAAACACCACTGAGATGCCCTCGAAGGGATCTTCCCCTTCAATGGAAGCCCAGTCAACACTTCTGAATGTAGAAGATTTTGCGACATGGCGACGCATCATCCGTCTTGATGCAATCCGTGCTAATGGAGAGTGGATGGCATATTCTCCCGGTCAGGCTGCGGTTTCTGAACTGAAGGCCCACCAATCTGCCGAGGCTGTTGGGCTGAAAGACTACAATCACCTGGATCCCTGCAGGATTGTCCATGCTGCTCGATTAGTTGCCATTCTTGAAGCCTATGCACTATATGACCCTGAAATTGGCTACTGCCAGGGTATGAGCGATTTACTCTCTCCGATAATTAGTGTCATCACCGACGACTATGAAGCTTTCTGGTGTTTTGTTGGTTTCATGAAGAAGGCTCGGCATAACTTCAGGCTCGATGAGGTGGGGATCCGGAGGCAGCTGAACGTGGTTTCGAAAATTATTAAATATAAGGATTCACATCTCTACAGACACTTGGAAAAGCTTGAAGCAGAGGATTGCTTCTTTGTGTATAGGATGGTGGTAGTGCTATTCAGGAGAGAGTTAACATTTGATCAAACAATTATCCTGTGGGAAGTGATGTGGGCAGATCAGGCTGCAATCAGGGCCAGGATTGGTAAATCTGGATGGAGCAAGATAAGATTGAGGGCCCCACCAACAGAGGATCTGTTGCTTTATGCAATTGCAGCATCTGTACTACAAAGGAAGAAACAAATCATAGAGAAACATAGTAGCATGGAAGAAATTTTGAGGGAGTGCAATAACATGGCTGGTAATCTTGATGTATGGAAGCTCCTGGGTGATGCCCATGATTTGGTGGTCACCCTCCATGACAAGGTATAGTTGTTATCTAATCAAAAATGTTAGCCAACTTTTTTGTTTTTTTTTTTTTTTGAATGGCGAGGAAACCGCACAACCCTTTCAAGTGTAGGTAAATCCTGCCTCGTGACCCTAGCCGGCAAAAGACCACAGGGAAGTAAAATCGGCCTAGGTTATCTATAACTAACTGGCTCAAACTAAGAGTGCTAGGATTCGAACTCGTGATCGTGTGATACAATTGTGGATTCTTGGCTAGGGTTACCCATGTTAGCTCCTTTTTTTTTTTTTTTTTTTTTTTTTTTTGGGATCAAGTAGTTTATGGCTATCTATTTGATTTCTCACTTGTGCTAGGTACAATTTATAATCATGTTAATTGTTGCTGCTTTACAGCTTGAATATAAGCTTTTGTTTGGGTCCGAATTCATGCCAGAAGCGTGATTACTACTGCTACTACAAATGCCAAATTATCAGTTTAATCTGTCTCCCTTTCTGTGGTCAAAAGAGAAACAGATTAGGGTGGGCAGATACTTTTCCTATCTATGTCCTCTTTGAACGTTATGAACTTTCCTTTTTTGTTACTTTCGAGAATGGGAACAATGAGAATGAAATTTGTGTTGGTTTCACTACTTTTGAAAGATGCAATGAAATTTAAACGTGATAGATTCCTTTTATGTTAAAGAATTATGAGTTGGATTTTTTCCGAATAAAAATCAAATTAAGAGTTTAGACTTTAGAGTTTGACTAATTTTTGTTTGCACCGGTCAAGTCGAATTAAAAGGTAAATTGACAAGGCAAATTATATCGTGGACCAGGGTGCACAATGCATTGTGTTCCTTGGTCCAAAACGACGTCGTTTTGTCTTTATTCATTTACGGTTTTTTTTTTTTTTTTAGAAATTTAGTTTTCCGTTTCTATTGTTAACTTCTAAAAAAAAAATTTTGTTTTATATGTATAGAATTGTATAATAGAATACACATAAACTCTTAACATAATACACATAATCATAAGTCTAAGAAATATCATTTCTGTATATTGAGGTACATAATTTAAATTAAAAAATATACAGAATTGTATAGTTGAATATACATAAATGAAATATCATTTCTGTGATTCTGTCAAGTGAGGTATGAAATTTAAATTCATAATGTGCATATTATATAATTGAATATACATAAATTCTTAATGTAATACACATAAATACAAGTTTTAGAAGCATCATTTTATGTTTACTGAGGTATGGAATTGAAATTCATAATGTACAGAACTGCATAGTAGAATACACATAAATTTCTAACACAATACACACACGAGCAGATCCAAAAATCTTCGTCAGTGGGGACGAAAGATTAAAAACTAATGAGATATTTTGAAAAAAAAAAATACATAGAGGTCGATTCATAACTATTGTTAATTAAGATGAAAAATTAAAATACATCAAAATGAAATAAAGAAATATTTAAAACAAAATATAAAATATAATTAATTAGATAAAAATATAAAATAATTTAAATAGAAAACATATTATAAATCACTAATATCACTATTAATATTAACAAATAAGATTTAAAAAACACAATGTTACAAATAAAAAATTTAATTCAAATTCATGCTTGTAGGATTTGAACCCATAACATTCGGGGCAAAACCAAATACCTTATCATCTAAGCTAATTTATCTTTTGATTATATTTATGTAAATTTAATATGAGCAAATTACACTTTTGGTCCTATGACTATAGGGGGCATGTTAATTTCGATCCGTGACTTTTAAAATTGACAATTTAATCCTTTAACTATGTTTTTTTAGTAGAGCAAAATCACCGGTGAAAATTAACCGAATTTTTTATCTTCTTCGCGTAGCGTGACATATTTAACACTTTTTCCTATTTTAAATTTTCTATTTTAAATTTTAAAAAATCTATAAACTCTATTTGATAAAGAGTAAATACCAAAAATGGTCCCTCGACTATAGCTAAATTCACAAATTGGTCCTCAACTTTCAATTTCAACCAATTAAATCCTTAACTTTGTAATTTTGACACAATTTGATCCTCCATCTATTTGATAAAACATGGGGAACCTGACTTTTTAACTTTTTCCTTTTTTTTTTTATTATCTTTATTAATTTACAAAAAATGCCATCATACATTCTTCATTAATCAAAATTATACTCCGTAATATCTTAGTTTATCATTTCATATTTTTACATTTATCAACTAATTCAAAAATTAATTTTACCAAACACTTTAATTTTAATTAGTTAGTTTATTAGTTACTAGTTTTTCAATTTTCAGCTAACTTTTCAACTAGAGGTGTCAAAACAAAGTCGAGGCATACAGCTACACTAATAAAAGCATAACTCAGAATTAGTAAAATACTATGACTGAATTAATCAAAGTTGAACCCAAAAACCACACAAAACGATTATCTAAAACTGTTATCAATAATAACTCACTGCACTTCTGCATCCATCTCTTTCTAAAGCAACTAATGCCCAAAGGTGGTGAACATAAGGAATCACAAGAGAATGAGAGGTCTCATCCAATAACAGGATCAGATACCATGGTAGTTCATGTTGCATACAATGCGACTCAAAAAGGGGAAATAAGTACTCATTAAACAATTAACATAAAGTATTAAAGACAACTGCCTGATACGAATTGAATCCACTACTTCTCCTTGGTGTAGTGTCGAACAGCAAAGGCCAAGCCCAAGATCAATAGAGGTACAAGGAACTGCAAAATCTTGATCACAAAATCTGGGGCCTTGTCGGCATTGTATGGGGTCTGTTGTGGTGGAATATAAGTGCGTTTTAATGGGACTGTAGACATGTCAATCTCTCCAATGTAATATTGATCCATCATTTCTCTAGCAGTATCGCTATGCCCAACATCCTCAAAATCATTTGTTCCATCCTTCCCTAAAAATATAATATCACACAAATTCAGAAGCCACTCTTGGTGATTATCATCTTTCCCAAAAAACATGAGTTTTAGCATTACCTGTAGCTGAAAGCAGGACTTCATCACCTCCAGGATGATCATCCATAAATGGAGTTACATCATAAACCTAATACACCATTTGAGAGTTCAATTGTAAGGAACTGTTCTCTAAGCTAATAGATGTTCAATAAAGTTTACCCAGCTTCATTCTATCTTCATAAAATAGGAAGATTCAGAGCAAACCATATACTTAAGATTCGTTAGAAGTAGTGTAATAAGCATTTTATGTAATCATAAAATTTGAATGAAGTGAGTCACATGACTCACATCCTATTAAATGGGCATGTCAGCAACAATACTCCATGGTAGCTAGTGTTGGTTAATGAAGTAACATGTCTATAAGATGGCTATAACTGACACGTAGAAACAGAAGAAAGAAACCATATTATAGATCAAAAAGAAAATCAATTCCAATGTGGCATTTATAGAGTACTAACAAAAATTGATTAAGACTGTTTTTTATAAATAATTTTGTTTTTTTGACATATCTTATGCATATACGCACCAGGTAGAACGAGTTAAAGGTTACAGTAATAAGATACTCTGTATAAGGGATGAAGAGGTGGGTCAAAACTAACTTGGATTCAAGTTACCAACAACATAACCTAGCAGACTGATTGACGGTGGATTTAGCAGTTCAGTGCTCAATAGAATTCAATGAGGACATAATGTCACATACCGTCCAATTAGGTTGGGAGTTAAACTTGAGTTCATCCTAAAAATTCCCCCCTTGACAAACTCTAGGTCTGAAAAAGGGATAATTAGAAATACAAAGTTCAAAGTATAAGCTGCCTAACCTTGTTAGAGCCTTAGAGGAGTCTAAAAGAGTTTATAGTGAATATTTATGAGCTCATAAGTAATTATCAGGGCATTGAAGCCTATATACGAATTCATTAGTTACTTATTAATTAAATTATATTATGATATTCATTACCTTTTCATTAAAAGATCATCACATATCTAAACACAAGTTATTGAGGTTTGTAATATCTAATGGGATAATATCCCACTTGATCAGAGCCAAATCAAACCAGCCATTGGAGAATCACTAATCTCGAACAAAGTAATCATTGGAGCATTATTCCACCCTAAATTTCCGTCATACCACCGATTATTCCACCATAGATCCCCATTATTCCATTATTTCCACCGTGAATATTGAATAAGCTCATTACTCTCCTTGAATAGCCATTACACCAAATTATTTCACCATGAAAGCCATAAAGTCCTTCTCATTCTTCCACTATAAAAGACTCCACCATCAAGGATGAAGGAACACTAAATCATCACTTTCGGGCTTAACTAAAATCACTCCATAATCTCTACTAAATTATTATTAGCCCGAAATCTTCAATTTATGCAATCTACTTTGTAATTTTCACTTGTGTCTTGTTTATTATATGCAATTTAATTTATACTTTTCTACCATATATGTGAAGCTATAAACACAAGCTGGTTGAATTAGTTCGATCAATATCAATTAGCAAAAAAAATTAGTAAAGCTCCAAAAACAGCAACAAAATAAAGTAATAACTAAATAAAAGGATCGATTTCCCTACAAGGTGAATTTCAGAGATGTGCTGAACCTCAATGAGCTCAGAAGGATTGTAATACCATAAATTCATCTTGTCAGGTTCGAATAGTTTCCGCTAATTCGCGAAATTTTCGATAATTTAAAACAACATCGCACCGTAACGATTACGAAAATTTCAAAAATAAACTCCAAAATAAAATTTAATGATGAAATAACTCACAAATTAATCTGATAAGGAAAATTAGATGGAAAGAACGAAGATCTAACCTTTCCATCGATTATAATCCAACAATCCTTGGTCTTGTTGTGCTTCGCGACTTCCTCAAAGCTATGCACTTTCTGATCTGAACCCATCTTCTTGCTGCAATCTGCGTTAGAGAGAGAAAGTTCTCTGGATTCACTCACTAAAACTCAGAGTTGTGGATTCTCTTAAACTCAGAGTCGAGGACTCGAGATACGGTCCTTTACGTTTGTTGAAGAGCACAGACGTGAAGTTGGACTTCTCGAAGTTTCTACCCACACGTGGTCAATAATACTGAGTTGTACAATAATTAATCTTATACACCTAGGGGAGTTTGTTTCACAAATGTGAGAGATTACGCTAGGGTTATCTACTTTATTTATTTACTAGTTTTTTAGGCGCATTGCGCGATTGAGATAATGTCCAATGTTTTTTTTAATAAGTACTTTAAAATATATCAAGGCAGGATTATATTAGAATTGTTCATGCATAAATAATTGAAACCAAATACGGGACATAAAGGGAGAGCAAATAAAAATTAGGGCATAAAATTTTAAATATATACTAATAGTGAAGAACTAATTGTTGATTGTCAAACAAGGACATTGCGAGGTAGTTTTCCACTTCAATTTGTTGTGTAATTTGAATACTCTTTTTGTAAATAAATCCCCCAAGTAGTTAATATGATTGGCTTAATTATATTTTTTAATTTTTTTTATTTTTTAAAACAATTATTATTATTATTATTATTATTATTATTATTATTATTATTATTATTATTAAATATATGTATACCCTTAGGTCATTTTACATGTTAATCTAAAAAGATAATTTTTTCAAATATCTTTTTACCAACCGTTTATATAATTCGCTGGTCAAATCAACTAATATAATCCGCTAACGCTAACCGCTAACTACTGATTGTCAAACAAGGACATTACGAGATAGTTCTCACTTCAATTTGTTGTGTGATTTGAATACTCTCTTTGTCAACAAATTCCTCAAGTAGCTAATATGATTGGCTTTATTAATTATATTTTTCTTAATTTTTCCATGGTATTAATAAAATACTTGGTAAATAAATATATAACATTATTTTGTATTATAACTTTGATATTTAATTAAAAAAATAGTGCACAAAAAAGATAATAGACAATGTAGTAAATATAATCAATTGATGAATTTGAATGTAAAGAATTTTTACATTGGCGAAAAATAAAGACAATATAATATAATAAAATTATTTCTCTTAATTAATTTATTGATAATGAATATATATATTTTTTAATAAAGACATTGTAGGGACAATGTAGCGAATATAATCAATTGATGAATTTGAATGTAAAGAACTTTTATATTGGAGAAAAATAAAGACAATATAACTAATGAAATTATTTCTCTTATTTAATTTATTGATAATGAATAATTTTTTTGAATAAAAACATTGTAGATACATAATTCTAAATTAAAGATCGAAATGCATATGTATTATATTTTGTTGTAACTACTAAATTATTATTATTTAATTTAATAAAACTAAAATAGAGTACTAAATATGCCAACTTTGATTGGGATGGAGTTCGAACTTCAAACTTAATACCTTTCTTATTGAAATCAATGAATAAGTTAACGGTGAACTAATATAAATTAACGGAAAAGTTAACAGATAATCATATTCATTAAGGATAAATTAGTAAATCTTAAGAAAAAATTAAAATCTGATCAATCTGAGCCATTCATTTGATTAAAAAACTTGACCGTCATTTTTTTACCCATTATAGGTCTAACTCTCTTGGCCTCTTATTAGTATAGTAGATAGTAGATAGTAGATAGTAGATATGTATATAATTTATAAATATGTGTATAATTATGCATAAATAAATAAATAAATGTATATCAATGTTTAAATATTAATAAATAAATAAATATAGGGATAAAGTACAAATAAGCCACTGAACTATTTGGAAAACAGCAATTAAGCCATCGTACTCAAATAACCCTCAAATAAGCCATTGAACCCGAGAAAAAAGAGCAGATAAGCCATTGAACCCTGAAAAAAAGAACAATTAACATTTTTTACAGGTTAACTCCAGGTTTTTGTTGATTGGATTGCCAAATGTTTATTTTATTTACGTTTATTATTATTATTATTTTTATTAATATTATCCACTTGGATAGTATTATATTTTAAAGTAATTATAATCAAAATAGTTTTGTCTTTTCGAGATTTGATTTATTTATTATTATTATTTTTTCACTGGATCTTTTGTTTAAAAAATAATAATAAATAAATAAATTAGATCTAGACAAAACAAAACTATTTTGATTATAATTACTTTAAAATATATTACTATGTAGGTGGATTATATTATTATAATAATAAAAAAAAACGTAAATAAAATAAACATTTCGCAATCCAATCAACAAAAACCTGGAGTTAACCTGTTAAAAATGATAATTGCTCTTTTTTTTCGGGTTCAATGGCTTATTTGGGGGTTATTTGAGTTCGATGGCTTAATTGCTTTTTCCCAAATAGTACAGTGGCTTATTTGTACTTTATCCCATAAATATACACATATATGTATGTATATTTGATTATATGAATATATATTTATTTTAAAAAAATGATGGTTTTAGTCCATAAATTATTACCATATACATATTTTTTCTTTATTTGTAAAGTGACAGTTTTAATCCATTACAAACAAATTCTATTAAAACTAACATTGCATTTCAAATTCTCAAACTATTGAATGACATATTAGTCATTTCATAGATTTTTCTCAAATTCCTTTAACTAAATCTTTATATATACCTCTGTTTGACAGAGCTTATTTAGGAGCTTATAGTTTATTTTAAGCTACTAATAAGTTATAAGCTCTGTTTGGTAATGTTTCCAAAATAAGCTTATTTTGGAACGCTACGTTAGGTAGCGTTTCAAAATAAGCTCATAGCTTCCTAACTTTTTTTTTTCTATCTTTATCTTTATTGTTTTAATGAAATGACATAATTTACTCTTCCCAATTAAAACCATTTTCTCTTCTCCTTTATCCACAACTTTCACCGCAAATATTATTATTATTATTATTATTATTATTATTATTATTATTATTATTATTATTATTATTATTATTAGATGAGATTTGCAACAATATTGCTACTTCATTATGAGATGCTAGATCATGATTATGCTAATAGTTTTATTTTAAAATGCTAATTTTTTTAAAGACAAAATGTTAAATTTTAATATGTAAACAAACTAATTAATTTAAATTTTATGAAGATGTCTTTTTGTCTTTTTACATTTATCAGCTTATCAAAAAACTAATTTTACCAAACACTTTCAATCATAACAGCTTTTCAGTTTTCAGCTTCGAGCTTATAGCTTTTCAGCTTTCAGTTCCTTTTCAGCTTTCAGCTCATAGCTTATAGCTTTTCAGCTAGGTTTGCCAAACAGAGCTTCATTTGTAGTGAAGATTGTTAGTTTTCTAAGATTTATAAGCATGCATCTACTTTTGAATGCCTCAAATAATAGTTATGGATGCTCAAATAACAGTCATTGATTTGTGATTATAATATGTATATTCATATCAATTTTTTATATTAACATTTTTTTATGTGATCTAATAAATAAACTATTTCATAACTTTTTTTAATATATGTCAATGATCTAATATGCTTATTTTTTGTGATGTCTTGTTGCAAATGGAAAATTAAAATTGCAATATTGGTAGAACCATTGCTCTCTCTCTCTCTCTCTCTCTCTTTTTTTTTTTTTTTTTTTTTTTTTTTAAGAAAATAGAAATGACAGTTGAATTGAAAGTGCTCATATATTGAATACTCACTCTAATTTATTGACATGAAAACAATAATGTACATTAATTCGTAATATTTATTTCAACTAGTAATATTTAGTAAACTTAGAATCCAAAACACTTTTGAATTTTTAGCTACACTCCAATGGAAAAAAATGTGTCGGTCAAACTCAACGATTAATTAATTTTCTAATAAAAATGATATAAATAAAAAATGACTAAAGTGTCCCTCAACAATTTGAAAATTTAAAATGCATTATTAATATTAACATAATTTGTTAGTGGTGGACAAAAAATTGCCACTTTAAACATAATTAAATGAGAAAAATTTGTATATGGTAATAATTCATGGACGGAGTCTACAATATGAGTATAATTAATGGACTAAAATCACCATTTTCTCTTTATATTTTATATACGAGTTAATTTCATTTTTGGTCATAGATTTATAGGTGTTAATCCACTTTTAGTCCTTTTTTAGAACATCCATCTTTGGTCCTAGTATTATTGTGGCATGACCATTTTTTGTCCTCTGTCAACAAAATCGTTGAAATATCATTAAATAAAAGACAATTTTGATCATTTTTATACAACGTGGGCTAACTCGCTATATTTTTATTTTTATTTTTTTGAAAAAAAATTATAATTGAAGACGTAAATGCCCTTGTATTTTACAAAATTTAAACAATTTTGTTGATGGAGGACCAAAAATGGTCATGCCACAATAATACTAGGACCAAAGAAGGATGATTTGAAAAAAAATGACTAGAAGTGGAATACCAACTATAAATCTAGGACCAAAAATGGAATTAACTCTTTTATATACAATGGCGAATCCAATTTTTTTTTTGAATGAGGACGAAAGATTAAAACAAAAGAGATTGTTTGAAAAATGAAAATGAAACAATTAAAATGTTTATATATGTTGTTGTTGTTGTTGTTGCTGCTGCTGTTGTTGTTGTTGTTGTTGTTGTTGTAGTATAAGGATTAGTTAACAATAACATAGTTGAAATATTTCAAGATAATCTTAGATTAACTGAAAAAATTGAGGTAATCACATTACCTTGAAATATTACTGTCACATTAGCTGTGAGGTAATACAACATTACTATGTAGGGGTGACCACAGTTGGATTACAGTTCTGAACCGCCAATTCCAAATTTCGAAATATTACAAACTGAAACTAGAAGTATCGATTTGAACTGCTGGTTCAAACCACTTTTTTTTTTCTATGTTTAAAAATACTCCAAATTCAAAAATTAATCTTTCATCCTAAATTTTTAAAATGGTTATATCAAATATTTAAAATTTAAAGTTAAACTAAAAAA